ATCAAAATAACTTTCATTTCCATACTTTTATAAAACTTTGTAAAACTTATGCAAATTAACAAATTCACTAACAAGTAGGGTCTGTATGAATCACAGACTGCTTTTCTATGTTTTCTAGACTCACAAAGTTAATTAACTATTCCTAGATCAGTTTTGGGGCCAAATAACAATATTCCCAATGGTGCCATATTAACTTGAAAAATGTTATACATTCTTCCCACCCCCTAAAGTATTCTTCTTTCCAAATTTATTTTAAATAGTGAGCTTTTACTAAGTAAGTTTCATTTAAGAATAAAGAGCTGCCCTAACTGGTTTGGCTCAGTGGATAGAGCGTCAGCCTGCAGACTCAAGGGTCCCAGGTTCGATTCCAGTCAAGGGCATGTACCTTAGTTGTGGGCACATCCTCAGTAGGGAGTGTGCAGGAAGCAGCTGATCGATGTTTCTCTCTCATCGATGTTTCTAACTCTCTATTCCTCTCCCTTCCTCTCTGTAAATAAATCAATAACATATATTTAAAAAAAGAATAAAGAGTTATAAAGATTATAACTCATGTTCATGAAAATAACTCATAGCAAATAAAAAATACTGACATTTCTACTTTGTGAGAGCTAGGGCTCTTAAATCCTTTAGCAAATTTACATTGGTCATAAGAATGGATTTTTAAAAACTGCATCTTAAAATAACTCAAAGTTCATTTTAGATCAAATTCTCAAAGCCTATTATCTTGCTTTTTGTTAAAACTATTTTTAAAAACTGGTACTTTAAAACTTTCATATCTGCCTTTTCATAGAGGTGTATATAGGGAAATGGCGACTGGATCAACTGGTGGTAAACAGATATTTTATATTTGGATAGTATGTAACAGCTTTCAAAATATTCTTAAAGGTATTTCACTTAATTCTTACATCAGATGAGTCAACATGTTAACTTTTATTTCCATTTTATAAAAATAAAATTCAAGGCCAGTAAAGTAACCAAATATGACAATTAGGACCTAAATTTTCTGACTTCTACTTTAAAATCCTTTGCACTTCACCACATTGCCTCTCACTTGATCATTTACCATACTGTATAATTGGGATCTGAATAACAGTTATTGTCAAGAGGAAAGAAAAGAACATTAAAATGGGGTACAGTGGATAAAACAGGAAAAGTTTTAATTATATTTTGTGCTTAAGAAGGGATTTTAGTATACCAATACTTAATTTTTTAAGAATTAACCAAAGAGAGTGCTTGAGAGGTTATGAGGAAACACTTTATTTGCAAATATCTGTGGATGTGTGCGCAGCACTTTTTTCTTGTCTTAAACTTCTGTTTGAGTCACAGTAGCAAATTATAGCTTCTTCTAGAGAGGAAGAATTCTGCTTGCAATTATGCCTTCGGGAAATGGTTTCACAATCCTTACCATATTTTATAAATAAATAAGGTTATTAAAAAAGGATTCCTTTTAGCTAGAAATAACAATTTCTAAGAGAAATTCAGACTTTTCAAAACCAAATAGAAAGTTAAGATACATGGCTAACCCTGGCCAGAATAGTTCAGTTGGTTGGAGCGCTATCCCATACACTGAAAGGTTGAGGGTTCGATCCCTGGTTGGGGTGTGTACAGGAGACAACTGATCGATGTTTCTCTCTCACATTACTGTTTCTCTCTCTTGTTCCCTCTCCCTTTCTCTCTCTCTAAAATCAATAGAAACATGTCCTTATGTGAGGATTTTTTAAAAAAAGAAAAGATACATGGCTAAATATCCATCTTTACTCACATATAGAAACTGTAAGACCTCTTATTTTGGCAAGAGGAAAGAAGAGCTTTAAAAAGAGTAATGGACCCCTTTCAAATTAAAAAAATAGAAGGTGAACAATAGGAAGGATGGGTGTGAAAATAAAGGTACTGTCTGGTGAGCTCAAGCATGGTTTGAATTAATAGCATTTTCCTAAGCCTAGTTAACTAGAGAATAAAGTAAAGCATCCAGGTCAGAACAGATGACATCACAGACATCTAGGGATTCTCCTCAAAGTCAGAGTCAATAAAACATGTTCTTCCTTTAAAACTTTTCCCCATCGGAAAAAGCTTTAATAATTTGTCACTGTAACTGAAACAAAAGAACTAAGGAAGGGGGAAAATGTCCGCCTAATATAACCTTCCCAAACTCATATATGCACACACAGATGTATTATTCCTGAATTCATGTGGTAAGGAATTTTCTTCTAACTATATATTACCCAAAGGTCTATAATATTTGGTGCCAGAATTTAAAATAAGGTATAAGCTCTATGTATATGAACTAGTATAATTTGTTTTTCATTCATTTTGTGTGATAATCTCCTACACCACTTACGTCTTAATATTTACCTGAACCTCTGAATTGGAGTCAATAGGCTGCAGTGAAAACCAAGTTTCTTTACCACTGTGGTTACACAAGTCTTCTTTTTTGATGGCTACTTTTCCTATAGGAAATAAGTAAAACAATGAAGAGACATTTTGTGCAATTCTTAGCACTGTTATATTTAATACTTTGTAGAAATTTCTAAAAAATAATTCATACCTATTAATATTAAAAATACATTTTTATAAAGTATTTTTCTATATTTCAAAGATTGAAAAGTGCTAATTTTTCCTTGCCCCTTGGCAAGCCCTTCTCTGGGTCATTTTGAATTAGGGGATTAGATAAAAACTCAGTTGTATTTACATGCAACTGCATTTTTTAGTACTTATTACACTCATGTTTTCACCCAAAGTACAATCAGTGCAAAAAGCAATGTATGATAGTACAAACTGATCCTTCTAATTCTTTAATGCTATGAATAAACCATATGTTTGATATTTACATTTAATAAGAGTTTATAAGCCCAAACTAAGAGAAAAAGAAAAACATCATACATCACTGACAACATTGAAAATCAAGGGAGATTAAAGCAAAGATATTAAAAATTTGCTTTTATCAAAATATTGCAAACACTGCTTATGCTGCTTACATGCATATAAAAAAAAATCAAGGCCGCTCCTTAAAGAGTTTCTACCTCTCAGAGAAAGATACAGTACAATGAATAAAGTATCATGAAGAGGAAGAAACAAATGTTCTTATTATAATGAAGTATTTGCCATGTTGGTGCAAAGCATTTCCTTCCTCAATTCAAGTTTTAAGAAGTAGACATAGTTTTGCATATGACTGACAACTTATTCGAAGATTCTACACAAAACTTCAACAAAGTATATGCACTAAAAGTAAAAAAGAGTTCACTTTCTTTTCTTTAAATAAGAATTTTCATTTTAAGTGCCCTAATTATACTTAAAGGGTATCTTTCACTTATGACCTATCTTGGTCTTTTAGTTCAACATTTGAAAACTTTTAGGAAATAGTATGTCAGTTTTTGTGTTTCAAGTGATAAGGAAAAGCATGACAACAAAACAAACAGAAAAACTTTAAAATTTTATTCTGAAATTAGATCGTGGTGATGGTTGCACAACTCTGTTAATATACTAAAAACAACTGAGTTATGTTATGTGAATTACACCTCAATAAAGATGTTATTAAAAATTTAACTATTAAAAATTTTGATAAGCTTAGCTTCATATCATGACTGGAACTCAAACCACAAAGACTACCTATATATGTAGGTATAATTTTAAGAAAATAATTAAAATACACAGCCACATATATTTTCACGAGTGGCAACTGTATTATTAGATAACCCAAAAGAGAGCTATTGAAAATTCAGTAGCTATATTTATTAACACTTGTAAAATTTAAAAATTAATAAATTAGCCCTCACAACAAGCATAAATCTTTCCAACTTTCTTTTAAATATGTTGGATGAAATCTAATGTGAAGCCCAAAATCTTCATGTAAATATATAACTCATTCAAATCTTGTAGGAAATGACACTAGGAAAATAATATATTTCAGCCTTTTGGGGGATTTTATTTAAGATATAAATTAATGGGGAAAAAAGAAATTCTTCCAGTACTAAATATACAGATTACAAGCCAAGTACAGAATTCAAGCACTAACTGGAACACCTAAATTTTCTTCATGCTGCTGAGTTTAGGTTAAGAGCCAAATCATATAAATCTCTTGATATGTTTTACCTATAGATTATATCAAATTCCTGGTAAATTAATATAATACCAAGAATGGCTTAGGATACAGAATTATGACAAAGTATTCAATATTGTTTCATCACATATGACAAAGATGATCACAATTCTATCAAGTGGATCACTTACCATTGATTTCACACCAGATATAAACATTAAGGCAATGTATAACAGCTTAATACATATATATGTAAATATACGCATACATACAGAAATAGATCTTATATGTCCTAAGCTGAAGTTCATATATTTTGAGGACCACTCACCTCTGTCTTTAAGAATCTTAGTAACTATGAATATTTTGTGTACTCTTCCCAGAAAAATGCACAGACATTATCTGGCATAGAATTTTAAGAGGGTTTACCCACCATCCAGAAACTCGCTGGTCCAGTCCTGGTTAAGATCCCTATTCTTTCCCTGTCCAGTGTATCAGTTGGTTGAGTGTTGTCCTGTGCTCTGAAAGGTCACGGGTTCGATTCCATGTCAAGGCACATACCCAGGTGTGGGATCAATCCCCAGTCAGGGTATGTGCAGCAGGCAGCTGATTGATGTTTCTCTCTCACATGGATATTTCTCTCTCACCCTTCCTCTCTCTAAAATAAATAAAAATATTTTTTTAAATCCCTATTCTACAATTTCCAGGATTTTTAATTTCATAATTTATGACTATGTATGTAGGTGTACCATGTGTAATATATATAAATATCACTAAAACAAGCCCCAAAATTTAAAATAGGGCTTTAAAAAACGTTTATTTCAAAATTTACTGGTTTGATTCATTTACACATTCAACAAATAATCACAGTGGCACTGTGATTTAAATGGTGATTTGATTTCCAGACTCTCCTAACCAAAGTCTACTTAACCAATAATGCATAGAAAAACTATAGTAGGAATCTACCTGTTCTATTTATGACTCACAACTCCATCACTGGAACTAAATCTTAACTTACAGGTGCCTTCCCAAAAGAGACTCCTCTTAGTTCACAAGATAAAAAAAAAAAAAAAAAAATCCCCGAAGCAAGTGTCCTCTTCCTCCTATTTCATATCTTGTGTAGCCACGGTATTCACTGTCATGAAAGAGCTGAATGGTTCTTGTGTTCTGAGACAGAAACCCTTCTCTGACTAGCCACATAAATAAGCCATTCAAAAATTGAGAAAAACCTGCAATTTTATTGCCAGCTCTTATTCTATATATCAAATTCCTTTCTAAAGAGATGTCAGTTTCTGAAATGCAAAGGTTTAGTTGCACAACACTAGCCAGCCTGAAGAAGCAGTGACAAGTACATGACCACAAGTACATGACAGAGGGAAATAAAGGAAATATTTGAAGTCATTAGGTATTAGGATACCTGCAACATATTCAGCACTTTCTTAGGCAATATAACATGAAAAAGTCATTAGTTCTAGGGAATCAAGAGAGGAAAGGGAAGGGAAGAGGAAGAGAAAGAGGGAGGAAAGGAGAGAGGGAGGAAGAAAAGAGAGAGGGTAAAGGGTAAGGGAATGTAGAAGAGGGAGAGATATGGGAAAGAGAAGTTGAAATACAAAAAAGGCCCAAAAAACCCTCATCTTTCTTACTTGTTTTGAGCTACCCTTAGTTAAACTGGTTAAACAGCAAGTAGTGATTGTAAAAGGCAGGCAGCCTGATATAGCTGAAAGAGCACTGAGAAAGACAAGCCAGCATTTACTGAACATTCACCAGACAGTAGATATTCTTTCATATTTTCTGGTTATTCTTCATAACAATCTTGTGTGTAGAGGGTATATCATCATCTTACAGATGAGGAAATCTTAATGATATTTAAAAACCTGCCTTAGAGTCTAACAAGTCCTAAGCCAGAATTCAAAACCAAGGTACCCCTGTCCATGTTCCTTCCGACACAGACATTCATTTAGTAGTAAGTGTCAGTTCTGTTACTTGTTAGCTAGGTAATCTTGGGTTATTTATTTAAATGTTACCTCTCATTTACCTCCTCTGTATTAGAAACAACTTTTAGCTCTAATGATGTTAAAAACCTGTTTTGTGCCTCTAATGGTCCCAAAGATTGTTTTAGTTTACTGTTCAGTTTTAAACAAAGTTAACTCATTACTTCACTGGCCATGAAATCACCAACCTCAAAAATAATAATAATGATCACACAGGAGCAACTACCCAACAAATTATTTATCGGTAATATTGCATTTCCTCACTGTCCTGACAAACTCAGAGAGAAAGAGCTTAGATCACATAACCCCACACATACTCACAAATACACCCACACACTAGGTACTGTATTAGTTCCTTAAAATAAGACGAGAGGAAACACAAAAGGAAATGAAGGAACTGTGGGCACAGAAACCATCTTTTTTTGGTCTCTAAGTAAAACCAAAGAAAACCAAAAAAGGATTCTTAGCTTTCCAACACCACTTCTCTGCAGCACTTTCTTGCCGTCTGTATACACTATGTTATATTTGGGCCCCATTTTTAGACAAAGCATATTCTTAGAAATTTCATCCTGATACAAATCACCAACTGGCAAAATCTCGACAGTCCCAGTCTTATTTGGACACCGGGAGAAATGACTGAAATAGTAGATAAAAGTAATGACAAGTGTGACTGCCTATACAAGATGAAATAGGACCAGAAGACTGAATAAATTCTGGCAGTCAATAGCAGCAATTCAGTCAATGGCAATATTATAATGGTGCCTCAGTTTATAGGGTTTAGGTGGGTACACTTTGGTCTCCATGGTAGACTTGTATGTTAATGGTTTCCTTGGTGTATGCCATTGTAGAGTCCTCTCCAGCACAAATCCTGGGTTTGACATGTCACTTGCTTTTGCCAAAGGAACACCAGCAAATGTGATACAAACAGAGGCCCAGATAATAGCCAGTACTAGCCATGCGACATATGAATCAGATGGTTCAGCCCAGTCAATCTGCACATTAGTGACCCCAGGTGAGACCAGCAGAACCACCCACTTTGGCTCCACCCTAATTGACAAACTACAAGATCATAAGCAAATATGTGGTTGCTGTATCAAGCCACTAAGTATTGGAGTGGTTTATTACTTAGCTATAGATAACTGATACAGTACCTATGCAAACAGACACCAAAGTGCAATCCCAGGCAAATTTTAAACAGTAGGTTTGACTTAAGGGCCAAATGCCAGCAGAAATTACAATTTAAAGAGCTGGAAAAGAACTATCTTAATCTCAGCCTTATTTTATGAACTAGGCCTAAGAAGATAAAGTGGATTAAGGTCATACAGCTAATTAGTTAATAGTCAGGAATGGAATTCACATCTCCAATATCCTAGTAAAATTCTCCTATCAAATATCATCCCAAATCCAGGGGAAAGAAAAAAAG